TGATAAATAAATTTGAAAAAAGTTATTTATGTTAAATATGTTAATTAATATAACAATACGAAATAGAAAAGAAGGTAAAAGCGTGTAAAGCGCAACTGACTATATATACTTTTATTTTTTTTATATATAAAAATATTATGGCTTGTCGAGTGAAGTCATTTTATTCTTGATCTGATTGACTGAATGTAGTCACGTGGGTCACTGTTATGAGTAAATCGGCATTAAATAATAGATCGAGGTATTTTACATCTATTAATATTCTATTACTATAAATAAGTAGAATAATTTATAGGCATTGAAAAGACAATGACTTCCGGATTCTTTCAACGACTTAATTTAAAAATAATAAAATAAAGTAATCTTAATACACTACAAATACATTTATTCATAGGATATATACATTTTTTAAATTTCTTTATTGTAAAATTTAGCTTTGAATAAACATCATTAACAATGAAGAGAATTATAACTTGACATTTTATGTGAAATAATACGAGTTGATTACGATGCATTCGGTACCAATAACACAGGCCAACAAAATTTTAAAGTGCAAAATTCCAGAAATGCGATAGTATATTTCGGTAGTTTTTCAAACCGCTGAATCCGAATCTGGCTTCAAAATTGATCTATCACTTTGAGATATCCTAACCTAAACGTGTGAAAATCACGATATTTCACTATGTTCGAGGTTAGAGTTATCTGTTTATGCTTTATCAAGACTACTTGTTTTTGGAAAAAAATCTATTCACAGTGTTACATATCCTCAAACATAGCGAAAAATCGTGATGCTTGCACTTTTAGGTTAGGATATCTCGAGAACCTTTGGCGATAAATAAATTCTGAAGCCAGATTCGAATTTAACTCAGCGAATACCTTCGGTCTGTGTAATTAATTGTAGAAAAGTAATTGGAATTTAATGTATTAATGTAAATGATCACGAATGAACAATTGAAAATTAGTTAAAATAACATATCTATTGATATGGAGATAGCTTCGAAAAGCTTGAAATCATATACCAATATTTATGTTGAAAAATAAAGAAAATTGAATTGTTCGACTGAGCTGACTGCTATATATTTATTTGAAAAAGAAAAAAGAATAACTAACTTGGTGCATTACCAACTTTACCTATATAGCTAAACATCTAAAAATCTGTTAGATTATTAGATTTCAAATTATTGCTATCGGCGAATATGAATATGGTTAGATTTTCATTTACAAATTGATATCAATGTATGATAAGTGCTTCAAATGATAAAATTATTTTATGTGTAATGTATTTTAGAATTTTTTTATTTCGCTTATAATAATCTTGATTTGATTCAAGTAACAAACAATATTATTGAACTCAAACAAGAGGTTAACGCACGACGCGCTTAGCCTTCCGTAAGGAAAGAAAAAAATATAAAAATGCTTCCTTGAAAAAAAAGTCTTAAACGCTTTTCAGGTAAGATTCTGTCTTGTATCAGAGAGCATTGACTCAAGTTAAAAAAAAAAGCAACGGAAACATACGAAACCCACGCTTCATTTTGAATTCCCTTTCTGCGGGAGCTTCATTCGAGTCTGCATTTATAAAAGGGTTCGTCGCACCCGGAAAAAGCCCCGCGCGAGAGTAAACAAAAAAAAAAAAGGAAATAAAGTTTTTCGGCTGCCACCCCCCCGAGGCACAAGAGGGAGCGAGAAAGAGAGACAAGAGCGTTCGGCGAGGCAAAAATATAAGGGAAAAGTTATTATCGTCGCAAATTTGAGTTCGGCCTGGAGAAGACAATGCGGCGGGTTATCTGTTCCTCGAAAGAGAGAGAGAGAGAGAGAGGAAAGCCAAGAGAGTTTAGACGCTGGCCTTTTTTTCCTCGGCGGAGCGATCTCTCATCGTTTTCCTGGATTTTTTGTGCCCTTCCGCATATAGACGCGCGCGCGTGCGCACACACACACACACGAGTCGTTTTCTTATCTCGCTTGCCGGTCAAGGGAGAAGTAATGGGCTGAGCGCGCAAAAAGAGAGACGCGGAAGTAGCTGAAGTATTAAGTAAACACGCTATCTCGCAGATAGAAAGGGAGACTCGACGACTGGATTCGGAGTCCGCGCACACACGCACACATTCACTGGTGCGCGGACTTGGAGACCCGCCAACTTGGTTTTGTACGACAATTTGTTGTTTTTCGAAGCTGTTTTTTTTCCGCTGACCGGCCTGTACTCTCTCGTTTGCCGGAATCGCTTTTTAAATAACATTTTAAATTGTTTTTCTTTTCTTCATCTTCTTTTTAAATGTTTTTTAAAGCATTTGAACTTTACAACTGTCAGATGGTAATTGTTGCACGAGAAACACGAGGCTTTGTATTATCACGGTAATTTCGAGTTTCTCTCAAAGTTCGTTCACAGGAACGTTTTGTACATTTCGTGTTTGATTTGAAAACCACGATAGAATCTCAGGTTCTGTAAAAATATTCCTGATATTCACCGTCAAGCCATTTACCAATGTTTTCCGTTGCAGCGGATCCCTCTAACGCCATCATCGTCGGCATCTGAACCCTCGTATAACAGCTCAAATAGTCAAGCGAACAAACGACTCCGAATCAAGATCCACGGCCTGGAGCAGCAGTGAAAGATGCACAGCGCAATAAGATGAAAGATGAGGGTCGAACGCCGGTCAGTCGATAATTGAACGCTCGTGGGTTCTTTTTTCGGGCGAGTGACGATGAGCAAGGGGTGGCGCGCGGGGAGGGGAGAGCGGGCGAAACAAGCGCGTCAAAAATGAATCGATAGGCGGAGTTCTTTCGCGCTGGCTTGCTGCGCCGCGCGGCGCCGGAGTAGGAGGGAGGGTGGGATGGGAGGGGTGGGGGGGCAACGGCAGGCGGGGCCGAGCGGCTGATTTAAAGCCGCCATTTTGTGCGCTCCCGGCGCTCCTATCTGATTGGCTGATCTCTCGCTCTACGAGATCGCGCTCGCTCGGCAAAAATTTCACGGCGTCGAGGAGCTCTCGCCGCGGTCGTCTCGGGCACGCCACGACGAGAGGTCCAGCGACGAATCTTTGACTCGCGCTGCACGCGGCCCGCGTACCGGCTCGCAATATCGATGCCGCTGGAACTGTCGTGGCGTGCCATTGTTGTCGCTGTACGTTCGAGTGCGTCCGTGCGCGACGGCTTTTCGCGCGAGAGAACGACCCAGAAAAGAACGCGCGGAGGACACGTAGGTATGTGCAGCAGCGAAGCCCTACGTCGGTGCTGCGTGGATAAGGAAAAGTCGGGAATTAAGAAGCTCCCGCTTTCTCTCTCTCTCTCTCTCTCTCTCTCTCTCTCTCTCTCTCTCTCTCTCTCTCTCTCTCTCTCTCTCTCGATTGCCTTCAGCTCGCGCATTGTCGTCTCTCGGATTTCAGCAGATAGGGGCGTATCTTAATCGGCCTATCTCATCAAGATAAGCGCCAGCAGCTCGCCAGCTCTCGCGCGTCCTATCAAGATCTCGCATTATAATACCCGCACGCACCGCCCGGCTCCCGATATTATACGCGCAGGCGCGTGGCGCTCTCGTTTTTTCGGTCGAGATAACGCATCGCGCGCACGCCGAACACCATTCCCGATTGATCCCTCATGTCGTATCATAGGCGCACCGCCGCTTTCTCTCTCGCTCTTCTCGCGCCTTGCCGTCGGATGTCGTCGGCGCGAAGGAGATGAGCTTCGACGTGTGAGACGTTTCTATCGTGCGAGGGGCTTCCATATTTGCCGAGGAGTCGATGTCAGCTTTGTTTGCGATATCGTGGCCCTCTTTCGACTGAGACGTTGATACAATGGATGGATACAATGGAATTAAAATGTTCGTCTCCGATGTCGATTCAGATAACTTACGTATTATATATTTAACCATTTAAAGGCCATTTAATCCTGACTGAGAGTCTGAGAGAGAGAGAGTAGTGCGAACAAAATCACCAGTGCGAATAGATAAAACCGTTGTACAAGATCGATCTAGAAATTGCCCTGAGCACTGTCCGTAAAAGTAAAAAGGCACGAACGAGTGCTAGAAAAGTCAATTCGCCAGTTTACTTTTATGTGCGTTGGCCGATAGCATCACGCAAAACACATACTGATTTTCCTTCGCTCGTCAATTTTTTTTTCCATTTCTCAAATCGTAAATCATTATCTTTAGCGTACGGAGGCAAACGTCGTTCGAAAGATCGAGTTATCGATGAATCGCCGTAATGAAACGTTTAGTCGGTTTCGACAACGGCGGCGAGTATCGCGCGAAGGCATCTCTCCCCGCGATAACGATGCGTTTTTTGAGAGCACTTTCCCTTTCCGGGGGCAATTCCACGGATAAAAGAGCGCGCGTCAGCGAGTGACATCGCGTCCGGCAATTAAAGTTACGTTGTCTTCGTAAATTATAGTTCGCGTGCGCGCGCGGAAAATCACTAAATAAAACGGGACATCGGGCCAACGCAGTGACGAATGCCCCGTGCGCGGTCGTCATTGGGCTGTTTTCCGGGGCGCGCGTGCATCGATGATCGCGCTTTTTCGTCGACGCGATCGGCCATTATCTTGGCGTCGTGTTTCGCGCATTCCATTATCCGCGCAATTGCATCGCGAGGGTGAGCGATCGATTGAATTAGAGCGCCCCTGGCAGCGCGATCCCGCGATTTTCCGACTGGTGCGACGCGGAGGCGCGCGGCGTGCGAGAGGAGACGACAACGAGGAGCGGACACCCACAGCGCATACGAGCGACCCCGTGCGCCGTCTCGTCTCCCTCGCTCGCCTGAAAAAGGGAGAGAAGAGAGCCAGCTAGCAGGTCGCAAGCCCCGCCCGCGCCGTCCAATGGCAGCTGCGTAGGCGTAGCCGAGTTCGAGCCCGCGCGCGCTCGGACGAAGCGGCACGTATGCGGGCGGCGGCGACCGTCGGCCGGGGGGGGGGGGGGGAGTCGCGAGGGGGGGTAGGCGGCAGCGGCGGTGGTAGGGGCAGCGCGCCGGAGCGAGGGAGAGAGAGAGGCTCCGCTCGAGCCTTAGTTCCGCGCCGGGTGCCAAGCAGCTCGCATCGCCGTGCTTTTCGTCCGTCGTCCCACGTACATGCACACCTACACGCCTGTATCGCCCAAATACATATAAGCAAGCGTCGCGCGCGAGTGCGTCACGATGCCGACTATCGCGACGATAGTTACGTGCAGTGCAGTGTGTGATTGACGACCAAATAAATATATATTCATACATACATATATATATATATTTATATATAATATATGCAGTATATGTATGCCTATGTACGAGTGTGCATTCTGACTGTGCTCGGTCCGATGCTTGCGGTTGTGCCAGTGTGACTTTAATTTAACGAAGTGGAAAGCGAAGACAGACGCACAGATAAGGTAGGTAGTGCAACGCCGCGGCCTAGTTCGATAGAGAAACCCGGAGCCCTGCCTCGCGGAGATCTTGTCGGCGCGCCGCCTGCCGACGGCAAGCCGATCGCCACTCCGCGACAGTGCAGGTCGCTTCGCGCGCACGCGAGTCCGTGCTGCGTCGTCGCGACGCCTCGACCGTCCCCACGTCGGCTCACTGATCGTCGGCTAAAGTGTGTAGGTTAGGCGCGAATACCCTGCGTTTCCTTGCGCCAAACATGTTTTGTTTACATAGTCTAATGCAATAAGATCCGATTTGGACTTGAATGCTATACGACTATAAGACTATGAAAGTCTGTATGTGTGGACAAAGCACGAAGGCGTTTGTTCGCATTGTTAATCAGTTTGGAGACTATGCTTGTTGAGTGGTTTATAACTGATTAGCTGTAGATACGACAGTAAAGTTGTGAGGCTCTCTCAATCCTCTGTTCTCCTTTCTGTTCTTAACTTTATTTTCCGGATTGTGTGTTTTTTGGCTTTGTTTTCCTGAAACCTGTGTGTGCTTGCTAGTTAGAATTTGACTTACAGATATCAGATTAGTCACATTACTATATGGACCGATTGGTCTTCAGCAACGCAAATATAATCAACAGTATTACTGTGCGTATAAAGTCTTGAAAAGCCTTGTTCGCCGTGTCCGCCGGACAGATCTGATACACATAGCAGTATAGTATATATTAAAACAGGAAGCCAATATTTGCTTCCAGATTAGTCGACATGTGTATATATATATATAGAGAGAGAGTGAGAGAGAGAGACACACACGCACACATACACACACCGACGAGAAAGTCAGCTCGCAACGAAAGTTCAAGAAGAAAAAGTGAACCGTACACACGAGTACTTCTCCACGCTGTAACTTGAACAACAAAGAAACAGCAAAATAACCGGCTGCGGTACCTGCGCGAGTCGCGCGAATTTCTGAATTTCGCTCGGCCGGCAGGTTATCGCTGCCGGGGACGAGCGTTGCTCGTGGATCGCTCCGTGCGCAAAAGTCGCGCGCCGATAAGGCCGCTACGGAGGCTCAACCTCGGAGAGGCGCGCGCCTCGCCGCTCTAATTTCTTCACGTCCGAGCTAATTATTTACTTGAGCCGCGGGGCTGTGGAATGCCGCCGGGAAGCCGTGGCCTCAGAGGATGCGAGAGATTTAGCCGACGACGACGCGTGGGCGGATGATTGAGACGACCGCGCGAGAAGGAACGGCCAAACGAGGAGCGAGCGGTTCGGATATAATTGTCCCGCGCGTGCGGCAGACGTCGAGACGCTGGTGCGTCACGACGCGCGGGTTAGTCGAAATCGAACTCTCGTCCGAGCGAGAGCGGCAGTCGCGCGCGAGTGCACCGACACTGCTCGGCCGAACGGTCGAGACCAATTTTCATTCGGTACGCACCTCGACTGGGGGAGATCGGGCGAAGACTGCGCTCGTCGCAATGACACGAGCGACCCAGAATGCCTCGACTGACGGCTCAAATCAGTTTTTAAACTCGGCTATTGCATTACGGTACTGCTTGACATAATATTCGTCGTCGCCGCGAGCTATCAATTGATTATCGAACGATTTCTGTCTCGCGCGGAGATTACGAGAAGGCGCATAATACGCGTATCGCAACAAAGAATTCTCGAAAACTGGCGCGTTATCGGGCCGCCTAAAAGCCCCAGTCCTCGAGTGGCCGCGACGACGCTGGCGCAGATTGCGCGCACATACGTGAACTCCGCAGCGTCGCGCAGATAAGCCTCTCTCGCCGTCAAATATAAAATATCCGTACTTTCTCGAGCGCCCGGCGTTTTAATTAATTTTTAATCGAGTCTTCTCTCTTAATCTTATCGCCGTGCTTTCGGCTCCGGATCTTATCGATATTTCACCTGGAGTACTTTATTTGCCGAATGAACGGCCGCGATTCACTCGCGCGAGTCGGGTCGGAAAAGCCAAACGAGTGCCGCCAGTTTTTCCGTCGAGCCTGGGCCGCCGCCGACATCGTGTTCGCGCGCCCCGCAGCGTTCCAGGATCGCCGCCGCGTAGGGGCTCGAGCGACGCGCGAGGCAAAGGAAAAATAAAGCGAAGTAAAAAAAATAAGCGTTTCGTTCTCGAGTGGTTTGATAAGGCTCGCTTGCGTCAGTCTGACCTTGGATGATCGCGTTGATAAATAATTTGGGCGTTCGCGACGAGGCCTCAGTGTCCCGATCTTAGGCCTAGAATCGAGATCGCTGCCAAATATAAGCAGTCTGCGACGATCGCATCGGTAAGTCGTTTTTCAACTTGTTACTCTAGCGTCGCTCGCTACTCGACTATTTCAGTTCGATCTCGGGCAGATTATCGTCGCGAGATCCACCGACGTATCGCGATTTTATAGTGCACGCTCGCTTATCGCCCTCCCCCTCTCCCCTCCCGCGTTACGTGTGTTCGTCTCGTTATGCACCTGCAGCATATGCCGAGATTAAGTGCGCTTAACTCGATATCAGCCTCCTCCCCCCGCAGGCGCGCGCGCGCACGGCAGCTTCGTTTCCACGAGCGCATCGATGCAACGCGAAAAGGAGGCCAGTTAACCCGTGATGATTTCTCGGCCTTTTCTGGTCCCCCGCGCGCCGGGAAAACCCGAGAGATTAGATAAACGACCGCGCGTCGGACAATTCGTTCAACTGGAATACGGCAAGTCGATCGAGTAATTCCGATCCGCTCGGACAATTTCCGCGACATTTTTCTTTCTCAATAGCAATCGTCGTCGCGAAATTGCTATTTCGAGTATTCGATCGCTCGGTCGACAAGGCGTAATCTTGCGATATGCGACGAGTTGCCGATAATAAAGCAGTGGCGTAAGGAGCGTAAGGCTCCCGTTGCTTGAAATTTAATCGTTCGAAGAGTGAGTGAGTTCGACCGAATTCGGCGCAAAAAACTGGCTGACGCAGTCAGACAAGCATCAATTATCGTTTGATTTGTGCGTGCCAGACTGAGAGCTGACGTCCAATCCAATCCAATCCTACTCCACGAGCTTCGACGCAACGCCGACACTCGCAAATTATACTCCGAAGGCAGCGAGTTGGACGGTATACTGTTTTTCTTGTACGGCGCGAAGCGGGAAAATTGGCGCAGCACCCAGCCGATGATAAATAATAAATCGAAAGGTATTCTCGCAAGACACGTCGACGATAGTATGTAACGCGCGGCAGTCTCCAGCCGAATGATTATCGCGTAGCGCTGTGGCAATCGGCAGATAAGAGCCGCAGCGCGCACGTACGTTCGCACGGAACACAATGGTCTCTCATCATTACCCGGCGCGATAAACGAAGTGATTTCTCGGCGTCGATAGAGCCCGATAATGAAATAGCTGCGCGCACGGCAGCCCAAGAAAACTATGTGTGCGTTTCTTTTTTGCTTCTGTTGTTCCAGTGTTTTGCAGCGGAGCGAGCGCCAGATGCTCGCGCGGGTCTGAAGCGCGCAGAGGAAGGCCGCCAGGATCGTCGGAGAGCAGCAAGGAGGCGAGTGGCGCTCGGCAGATCCGTCCCTGATCCGGCTCTTATATTGCGCTCGCACGTCGGTTGCGCGCGCAATATAAGCTCGACAAGGCCGCGAAAATTCTCGACTACGCGATGGACATGAGCAGCGAATCGAGCGCGGCGCGCTGGTACGAGCCGCCGCGGAGCCTCGAGGCTGCGGCGACGAGCTCGGCGGGCGGCGGCGGCGGCGCCACGAGCGCCTCGGCGGCCAACGCCGGCAGCCACCCCGCCAACGCCGCGGCCAGCAACGACTACCGGGCGTACTACCCCGGCCCCACCCATCACCCCGCCGCCCACTACGCCCACAGTAAGTTGCACGCGCTCTTGCGCCCCCCGGGGTCGAGGAACCCCCTGTCTTGCTCTCGACTTTGCGCAGACGACTGGGTACACAACGTCGCCGCCCCGGACGGCTTTTTTCCTCGGCGCCGATTAGCGCTCGCCGCTCGCGACCGAGAGCGAGGAGCAATCGATGGGCGAGCGCCTCGCCGCGGAACCGCGGCCGGAAGGAAGCGCGCCCGAGCGCGGAGCTGCAGCGCGTAATTGCAGCGCGCGGGCCCGCTCTTTTCACGCTCGACCTCTCTCTCTCTCGCGCGCGCGCGCAGCCTCACGAGTGACCTTCTTTTCCGCGAGCGACGCCATCTTGCAAGTGCTCCGAAGGCGGAGCCAAGGAGAAGCTTCCCTCTCTTATCGCGGGCTCGCTCTTTCTCTCTCTCTCTCTCGCGCGCGCGCGCGCGCGCGCGTACGTGCAGCTCGACCCCCCGCTCGACAAATAACAGGGGCCACAGAGCCCAGATTTATCTCTCCGGCGCGTAGAGAGAGAGAGAGTTCAATCAGCGAGATTGAGAAAGCCTCTCCTTCGTCGTCTTCTCGGCAATCCTCTTTTTCGCGCGCTCGGCCACGGGGAATCGCATTGATATGCCGTGTACGCCGCGAGAGCCTCGTTGGCATTCCAAGGGGGACGACCTCGTAAAGCATATCCACGCGAGCGCGAGCTTGTGACGAGCGGAGCGACCATTAATTTGAGGCTCGAGTGAGCTGCTCTCCTGTTTTGTTTTTTTCTTCTTTCTTCCTCTTCGGTCTTTCTTTTTTGTGCGCGTGCACGCGCTATGACTCCTTTCGATGCTCGCTCGAGGGTGTGTATTGTGTATTGGCCGAAGCCAGAGAGCCTGTCGACGAGTGCTGCTGGCCCGTTCTCCTTCTCTCGCTCTCGAGGGCCCGCTACTTTTTCTCCGCTACTCAAACGATCAATTTGCAGGGTGGCTTTGCTCTCCTCGTGCCGCTCGGAGGGTCGCGTGAAGCGCCGACGCTCGACTTTCCGGCTTCCGAACGCAAAGTAAACGGATTCGCGGAGAAAACACGGCGAAAAATGGCCGACGCGCGTTAAAAGGAGCGCAAGAGGTCGCGCTACTCTCGATCGATTAGCATATAACCGCTTTTGCCGCTCTTGCAATACACGCGCGCGCTCGGCGAAAAACCTTTCACCTCGAAAAATACACGGGCATAATGACGTCATGATTTACAACGCACCAAGTTTCTAATTCAGTAAATTAGATTTGTCGCCGAACGGAAAATTCATAGTCGAGCGAGAGAGCGAGCTCTGAATCATAATTTCTCCCTGGCACGCTACGTTCGTATATACGTGCGCTTCACCCGCCAGCGACGTTGTAGTATCGATCGACTTGCACGCTCTCTCCCGTGTATGCTAATAACATTATCGAGTTCGCATAATACTCATCGCTTAATCAACGCTCCCCGCCGCCGAAAAGCCGAGGCGCCATTGGCTTTTTCGCCGCGCGTTTTACTCGGTTTCGCGTCGACGCGAACGCGCGCGGACACGTTCAGGTGTCTATTCCTCGTGCTCTGAAACGTAAACACAAACGCAGTCGGGCGCACGCGAAGCGATGTCGTTCGCAAGACAACGCGAGGGCTTCCTCGAGTGCGCTCGCGTGTCACCTCGGAGGAGCCGCGCGCACGGTTCCGAATTGCTCGGGGACAGGAATGGCCCGACAGGCGCGCCAATGCAAACCGCCTCACCCCCGTCCCTCTTTGCGATTGCAGGCAGAATGTCGAGCAGTGGGATGCCAGGCGGGCCCATAAGCCAGGTGTGCCGACCGCACTTCGCGCCGTCGCTGCACCCGTGGGGATTCGCGACGACGTCCGCCTCGACGAACGGCTCGTCGGAAGAGAAGCCTCAGAGTCCCCTGGGCTCGCAAATGCCGCCGGGCAGCACGGCGGCGAGCCTGGCGGGCCACGCGAGCGGCCATCCGTTCCCGTTCCCGCCGACGCCGCCGAAGGACGCCACGCCGGACTCCATCACGGCGAGCAGCAACAGCGCCAGTGCGGCCAGCAACAACAACAACAACAGTCAGACGAGCAACGCGAACAACGGTCTGGGCTTGGCGAGCAGCCAAGGCGACTACCAGGCGGCGGTGGCGCACGCAGCGGTGATGGGTGCGTTCATGCACCACCAGGATCTCGGCACCACGGGCTCCTGTGACGTGAAGCCATCGGTGATGCTGGGGCATCAGCACGGTGCGCCGTCACCACCGCAGCAGCAGCAGTCGCAGGGCGGACAAGTCAAGCAGCGCGAAGGTAATCAGCAGCAGCAGCAGCAGCAACAGCAGCAACAGCAGCAACAGCAACAGCAGCAGCAGAATTCGACGGCGACGAGTCAGGATTACCAGAGCAATCAGCCGACGTCGCCTAGGGAGACCAGCTCGTACGGGCAGTCGTCTTACGACCCCGCGAGCGCGTACATGTACCAGCACTTGCAATACCCAAGCCATCACTCCCACAACCCCCACAATGGTGCCACCGCCTCGTCCCTGTTCTCCTCGAGTCACGCTGCCGCGGCCGCGGCTGCGGCCGCCGCCGCTGCGGCTTCCGTTGTTCCCGGCCTCAGTCCCGATTCCAAATTATTGGGTGGCCACGTAGCCGGACAAAACACTCCCAATTCGCCGGGCTCGCAACATCAGCAGCAGCAGCAGCAGCAGCAGAAACCTCGGAACAAATCCAGGACGTCCGCCGGTAAGCGGTTCTTTAACACGCCCGTCACGTGCACATATATGACTTTTAGCTTTTCCTTTCTTTCACCAATCCTCTTTCTTTCTTAGTTTCGTTTTCTTTGTTTTATACTTTTACTTTCTTTGGTTTTTAATTTTTTTTTCCTCTTGGTCACACTTTGGTTTCGTTCGGTTTGCTTTTCCCTTTTGTTTTCACCATGAAAAATTGCACTGTTGCTTATATCAACACTTTTGCTTTTGAAAAATGTCAACGATTGTTTTACATATACGTGTGCGCCGTGCTGATATTTTATAGCTGAGAACACGTCCAAGTTATTTGCATATTATTTGCAAAGAAATATGAATCTTCGTGACAAATTTATCTCTAGTTTCTTAATTTTTGGCAATTGCAGCTTCTATTTCTGAACTTTCCAAGGCGATTTAACGCGAGAATATTACCGCTAACTCGTAAGCAGAGTTATTTTTTAACAACAATAAGTAATTTTTCCTGGTGTTTGCATTAGTCATTTAAGCATATTTTTATTTTCATTAACTTTAACAACTCCTAGTTATCTTTTGTTTGAATCCCATCATTACCTAAAAGCTTTCGGTGGCGGTCGTGAGAGAACAAAGTCGCTGTTAAAACGGTCAACGCAATTGTTTGCCGTAAAATCGAAAAGCAATTATCGTCAAGTGAAGTTTTTCGCGCGAATCACGATATGCCCTTATTATACTTTTGTATTTTGCAACAAGTCTGTTTTTTGAAGTGGCACCCACGAACCTCTGTGTAAACGTGTAACGCAATGTCACAAAACAACAACCACGAGCAGAGCACGATTTTCTTTTCAGTCCTTTTTTTTTCATTTTTCTTTGGAAGTTATCTATATCAATGTGGTGTGGCTACGTTTTTGTAACTTTTTATTTTTTTGGAGTAAGAACCACGTATACGACACGCAGCATTCTGTATCCACACACGCCGCGCGTTTTCTGCTCTTCTTTTTTTCCGCGGGACAAAAAGAAAAAGGAGAAAAACGACGTGCAAACAATGACTAATTGGATTTCCTATTCCGCGACCTGTTTTTTGCACTAATTAATCAGGCGTTTGTCTCTGTTTTTTCGCGCAATCAACTCTATCCCGCAACAAACACAAAAGCTATGCAGCAGCTGAAGAGAAGGGGAACACGTGAACGATGAAGATGAAGATCAAGATGCGACGGCACGATATAACGTGAATATGTCCCAACCCTAATCTAACTTTTCCAACTCTCTCGTGTTACTCACTCAACCGTCTCACTACTCTGCACCATGTAACGCACACACATAGACACAGATATACACACACATACACACACAAACACACACACGATGGAACCTGGCCAAAAAGGGCAAATCTCCCTCTCGTGTGATTTCCTTTTCCTCTAATTCTTGCTCCTACTATAGTCCCACGATCTTAACATATCGACAACTCCAATGGGAAATGGCGATCTTTGTGACCAATATAATCTCCGTGCATTTGTCTCTCGATTTATTGTGTCACTAACACGAAGCGACTTCTGCTTTTGCTCTGGTAATCGCTTGGTGGTCTGTCTGCTATTGCATGCCTCTTATTTTTCATTACCTCGTTCATTCACTTTTTCGATAGTGGTGGTTGCTCTGCACGCGACGCCAGAAGAAAACTTCGCTAGAGCTCTGCTTTTCTCTTCTGCCGTCGCTGCGGAGTTAATGTCGCGCGAGAGTCCGCGCGCCGCGATTTTCATCGCGCCACTTTCGCTCGCGCGCAAAGAGAGTCTCGAGCGCGACATCTCCTGCGAGCAATGCCGTGCTTGAGAACCTCGCGAGTAGTCCGGCCGTCGCCGAAAAGCGCTTCACGTATTTTCAGCGACGGCCAGGCAGTAGTGCTTTTCCTTTTCTTTTTTTTTTTTTTGGTTTTTTTGTTCTTTCATTAAGCAGCCTCGGCTCGCCGATCGCAGCACTAACCAGAGCCGTATTTTCTTTCTTCACGAACAGAGGGCCGCGAATGCGTGAACTGCGGAGCAACGTCCACGCCGCTCTGGCGACGGGACGGCACCGGCCACTATCTCTGTAATGCATGTGGACTTTATTACAAGATGAACGGCCAGAATCGACCATTGATCAAGCCTAAAAGACGCCTGGTGAGTATCACACGCACGCAGCAATCCCCGCTGTCGCACCCTCGCTGCCTCATCGATCGACAGCGTCAGCGAATGCAAGGAAAGGAAAAATCGTCGTCGACGGTCGAACCAGCTAAGCCCGCGAGCCGCACTAATTCTTTTGCTTACGCACTTGTTAATACGACCATTCCCACGTCATCGTGTGGGTACACTCAGGGGCGTTTCCCCGCGCATCTCGTCATAATATTTGGTCGCTCGATAAAACAAATTGCCGAGGCTCTCCGCTCGTGCCTTCGCCTACGCTTACTCTCGCTTTTTTTTCTTCATCGGTAACAAACGTCCGTTGACACTTATCGCTCGCGAGAATCTTCGTGCGGGTGACATATGTCTTTCGCACAATGCCTCGCTGCTGCACTTTTTTTTTTTTGTCATAGGGGGTCTCTCTCTCTCTCTCTCTCTTTCGCATATGTATGCTTGTTCGTCGTCTAATGTCTAAAAACGAGCGCGGATAAAGAGGCCCAAAGAGCGCGGAGATACGATCTTTTTGCGCTACGCGTATATGCGCAACTGCTGGCGGTGGACGAGCGAAAGCGCACAAAGGGATGTATGGAAATGTTAATGGGGCGATTTTTCGAGGCGAGCCGTGTGTGCACGTAACGACTCGGGCTATTTTCAGCCGAAAAGGATCGGACGTTCGCGCTCATTTCCAACGAATCGCGCCAAAAGCAAAACGTATAAAATATAAAGAATCGCAACCTCTGGCTCCCGGGCGCTGTTCTCGCTGCGCGCCGTCATTAACCAAAAAAAAAAAAAAAAACTCCGCGGCATCCGCGCACACGTAAAGGCGGGTGCGAGTCGCTAGCCCCCACGGGCGGGCAGGCGATGGGGCGGTAGATAGCGGCCTGGCGGTAGCAAGGGTTGCGCCGCGCCGCCATCTTTGATCGCCGCGGCAGATAGCGACGCGAACAGCTGGGAAATTTTTCGGCGGCCCTTCTCTCTCTCTCTCTCTCTCTCTTTTTTATTTGCTCGCCTCTCGACACTCCTCTGTGCGCTCTCCCTTCTGTGCTTTTTTGCCGCTCCACGGGGTGGACGTTGCCACGAGGGGCTCCTATTTTTTATTGTTTATTGTAGACGTTTGAGAAACTAGTTGGCCATAGTTAATCGAGGACGGTCTCTTTGTTTCGTCGCACTACCCTCGTGCGTTTGTATGAACATTAATTTATAGAAGATGGTATTTTTGTTGCACGGTAAAGCGTTTCAACTCGAAAATGGAGATATTAAACAACAGAGAAAACGACAGCGAAGACTATTGGTCGTCATTGATCAGTCGAGGTAGTAGGTTTCCAATTTGTGACGTCATAATTAGGTCAGGCAATTTAAAACAATTCATCAACTTCTTCATTTCATTGAGCAATTGAGTAATGAAAATTTTCACAAATCGACATTCGTCACAAATTATCTTCTAAACAATTTTGAATATTTAATCTGCTATCAAATGGCTTAAAGAAACTTGATACCACGAGAGGTATAAACTAATTAAAATGAAACGTCGAAGACGAACCAACAACTTACCGACGGTTACGCGTTCTTCAATTTTCGATGTATGTACCCGATTTGTTTCAAGCAAATCGATTTATTCTACCAAATTTTTTTCATACATATCAATTAATTTTTTATTGAAATGCAGACAAAGTTGGACAGGAAAATTATCCTCAAAAATCCATATTTCTCATGGTGCCGAATTCGTTCTAATAATCTTAATAAGTCGCAAAAAAACTCGTGATGATGCCAAAACATTTTCCTTTGGTGTCGTGCAAGTTCCGTCATCGAACGACCTTTTTCGCTTCGAGTTATTCGCCAGTAACCAGGCGGACCTATCGGTTTTTGACCGAGAGCAGCAACGCTTTTATTCCTGCTGTATTTGATCTTGATAAACGAGCTCGCAACAACATCGCTACAGTGACGCTCTCGAAACAATCGCGAGAAGTCTTGGATAAATTAATGTACGATCTATCATTTTTAATGTTCTGGTCATAGCGTTCCAGCTTGGCCGGGGCCGCACTGTAATTTTTGCGGAGTTGGCATTGTTGTCGAGGTTTTTCAAGCAGCGCACAGCGTACAACGCGCAAAAAGGCAGGTTTCCCAGAAAAGCAGCAGTGGCAATCGGCATTATACAACTTCCTCGCGGTGCGCGGCGATGCTATCGCCGCTCGCGCGCGCAGCCTAATTAATAGTCGAGAGTCCGAGTTGGGCGTATCTAGCCGCGGCGATCGGCTCCTCGAGCCCGCAGCATCTTAATTCGTTAACGAGGCGTATTCCACGCAGGCAACGGAGCCCTCCGGCGAAAACAATGATTTCGGACCACAGAGCCGTGGCGCTCGCGCGGTCCTTTCGCGTTGCGCACGGTGATCGATCGGTTTCCAAGCTGCTAACGGTATATATACAGCATCGCGCCGCTCGCCGCCTCTCTCTTGCGCGCGCGCGATTAATATCGACGCTCCAGATAGGCATACACTTTGCCCGCCTGACAAATCATTTGTAGCTCTGTGCCGGCGTCGCTCGCGTGATGGATCGACGACGAGGAATTAATGATAAATAAAAAAAGAGAGAGAGAGAGAGAGAGAGAGAGAGAGAGAGAGAGAGAGAGAGAGAGAGAGGAGAAAGAGAGGAAAAGAAAGAAACGAAAAATAAAGTCAATTTCACCGCGCTCACGAGCCTCGGCCTCGGCTTCTCGATATTTATGTACACTGCTGCTGTACGATCGGCGATTTATGCGCTCGCGCTTCTTCGCCCACCAGTCGGAAGCAATTTACAAGCTAATAGGTTAGCCGCAGCGCTCTCCGCGCGGTAGTCGCGCGATTTATTTCGGCGCACGCCCATCTAATTGGCTCCGGGCGCGTTTCTCGTGCTCCGCGAGCCCGCAGAAGTGTGCAGCGCTGCGTCGCCGACACAGTTCCCACCTCGGCGCTCGCGCGAGAGGAACCGTCCAGATTCGTCGTTGTCCTCCATCGGCACGCCGGTGAGCTTCGAAGCGCGTCGCTCGCCTACTCCGCTGGGGCCGCGGCCCCTCGAGCCGATCCCGAAAATTGCACGACTCGCCTGCCTTTTCGCTCGCTCGGGAGACGTTTCGCTTTTCTGGACGCTCAAGTTGGAAATAAGGAAAACTCAGTACTCCATACTCAAGGTAGTTCCGTGGTAAACTCCAACCAGTGGTACTCGAATGAAATTTGAAGCAAAACTAGTTTTTATATGGATCAATGCGTGAGCAAACTTCGGAATCGGCTTACCGCCTAGTTTTCGTCTGATCGTCAATAAAAGATTTAATTTTGACAAGCCCGAGGAAGCTTCTGTTTATCGGAAAAAAAAAAAGAAAGTTGCCATTTGATTCAAAAACTCATCAAGGCTATATAAAAGTCTAAGGAACCAAAAGCAGTTTCAAAAAATACAAGTGTGCGTGCAGTTATAATGTACAAAGAGCGGACATTAACGTGTTTTTCAGGATGCAAAATGGAGGCCGTAGTTCGGGGGGTACATGCAACGCGGCAATGCCGCGCTGCTCGTGTCCCGACGCTGAAACGTTCGACGCTCCAACGCTCTCCCACTGGGTATTCATTTTTCCATCCGAGCGTTCAGTTTTTGCTTGACATCGATTATCATGGAAAGCCAAAGATAGTTGTATCTTCGTACCGTTGTTCGCACGTAACGGCAACATTACGTTATATTCAGAAGCTATTGAAATCACAGAATCATATAACAAATCCATATTGCATATTTTGCAATGCTCTCCGACTCTATTTTCGGTTGGAAGCAAGCCGGCCGAAGGGTTAAGTGGCGTTGGCTGCTAGCGACGTTGCCAAATCTATTTCGCTGCACTAGTCGTGACGTGTAGGTTTAATCAAAACGATTTATTTATCAAGTTTGTAATGCGCCCCAGCGCTCATCATTCATCAGAATCGATTTTATTCTCGATGCCATCGACAGATCCCCAAAATTATAGTTTATATCCTCAAAACAGAATCAACTAAAATCACGAGTTTTTTTTTTTTTTTTTTTTTTTTTCACGCAGTACTCGCTTGTTCGAGCAGCCCGAAGGTGCCGGACGAATAGACGCTTCTCGCGAAACGAGTTTGAACGGGCGATCGACGTTTCGCCGCACTCCGATTTCGATAAGTCGCAGGCGTGCGTCGTGCCTTCTAACGATCGCCGTACGCCTTGATTTCGTTCCCGTCGCACGATCGATCATCCGCGCACGAACGTAACATAGATTCACGAGGAGTCAATGCGCGGGCTTTCCCTTATTCGCGCGTTCCGAAATTCGCGTGCGAACGCCGCGGCTCGCGCGACGAGAATGTCCAAGCGGGCGAAGAGATGGATGGCGTCGGCGCCATTTGCATCGGGCATACATAATTCAGCCGATCGTACGTGCGCGCGCCATCGTCGGCGCTCGAGCTTGCGAGCTTGCGACGAGCACGGCGTGCGCCCCGATCGCCGCGTCTGCTCGGCGTCGCGCGCTCCCGGCTGAAAGGGAGGAGTTGACTCGGCGCTTCTTCTCGTCTCCCGTTCCCAGGGAGCTTACACGCGGCAGGGGCGAGCTGAAAAAAGCAGCTGTCGGCGCTCTATCATTGGTCGCGATCTTCCGCCAATGGTCGCCGGGCGCCGAAACGCTTGATGCTCCGGGCTCGGATTACCGCTTAATGACCCTCGGCGCGCGCGCGCGCGCGTGTGTGTGTGCAAATCGTAGCCGCGCGCGAAAATCAATTGTTAAGGCGCCTCCGCCGCCGCCGTCCTCCGAGTCAATACTCATAGACCTCCGGCGTGTTTGCACGACGCAGGCGTAAGCGCATGCGCCTCGCGCGCCACCCTTTCTCTCGGTCGCACGGCAAGGTGTGCATTTGCGCGTGTTTAGCTCTTTGCTGGCTGTAAGGGCGCTGATAACGATTTTTCGTTGGCATTCCAGTCGCGACGCGCTTATTTCGAGCTCGATCGGGCTCCCTAATTTGTCACCGCGGCAGGCTCGCGACAACGCGGAGCGCGAAGACGATCGTTCGATCGTTCGATCGTCTCGGCAACGCCTTCCGCTCGATAACCTCGCGCGTAACTAACGGCAATTCGCCGCGAGACGGTAGTCATTTGCGGGACAACGAATGCATGATGGAGCAGAAAACGATCGGCTGCGCTCGCGCGCTCGTCTGGTGGACCATTCGATCCCGCTGGTTATTTCTATCGCTCCATTACCACGCCGGAGCCATCGACTGTCGATCGCATCGAGACGTCCGCGCGAGCCTCCGATCGCAGCTCCTTCACCAGGAATCCGCGGGGACGGAGAGAGATAGAGAGAGAGAGAGAGAGCTACCGCGCGCGTCGCGGCGCGCTACCGAGATAACAAATTAGCGTCGATGACTAAGTAGCTGGCGCGGCTTTCGCGGCGAGACGACGACCGGTTTGCCGCGGCGGCTCGCGTAATGGCAGTCGCGCGTTCCCGATCGGAGCCGGCCAGCAGCTTCGCCGACGATACCATATCGGCTCCGGCGAAACACGCGGACGACGCTCGGGGGAGGGCGCGGCGCTGTTACCCGCGAGCAGCTCGACGAGCCGACGAGAACAAAAAAAAAGAGGGGCAGGGGGGAGGGAGGGCGATCCACTCGCGCCGCGCGCGATCCGAAAATACGACGAGCCGCGAGGCTCGTCGGCGCGCGCACCTTGCCCCGATAAGCCTTGCAGCACGGCGGAGCCCCGCGCGAACAGGATACATGCGCATTGTGCGCGTTGCACAACAGCCGCACGTACGCGCGTTGCGCGCGCCCGAGGCGATCGCAGCAGCGGACGGAGAGAGAGAGAGAGAGAGAGAGAGGGACTATTTTAAATAGCACGCTCGGCAATTTATCGCGATAGCCGCGTACGTGTACACTCGAACACAATGATGAGAAGATTCTTGGAAATGAAATTGAATTATGCGAGAGAGGTTTTTTTCCTTTTCGTAAATACGAACGTTAGAGAGGGAGAGAGAGAGAGAGAGAGAGAGAGAGACAGGTAATTGCTACGTTGAGCTATTATTGATTTATCTACTGCTGTCCGGCAAGTTGCTCGATTTAGACGAAGCGACGCGCGCCGCGGCGCGAGCGCAGCCGGCGACGATCGGAACAATTTCGACGCGTTCGATCGGCGAGCGATCAATCCCGGTGCTCGCTCGTCGTCGATCAGCAGCTTCATTGTCAAAGCAAGGAGGCGCGCGAGGAATTTCGCGCTAACTGGGTCAACGTACACACACGCGCGCGCGCGCGCGCGCACATACACGATATCCTCTCTCGCGCCGCTAGAGGAGAAAGGGTCAGCCGGCAGTGCGCGGGTGTGGCCGTGACTGCAGGACTAACAGGTTCGCCGTGGCGAGTCCTTTTTTCTCTCCTCGAGCGTTTCGCTCGTCGATACTCGGGAAGAGAAGAGGGGCGGCGGGAGGGGGAATCACGTTCGAAGACAATGAGTCAGGTACGCGTTTATCTCTCTCGCGCAGTGAAACAACACACACGCGCTGCTCGACAGATAGCGCCTCTCTCTCTCTCTCCCCAGTCCTCCCCGCGTCGCGCAATGCCATTTTCTAATTGGACCATTATCACTCGCGATGACTCGCCTGCGTCGCCGAGCAATTACAAATTTTCGTCCTCGTGTCGTGCCAATTTCCTATCGCTTTTTCGGTCCGACGATAATTATCGTCTCGGCGCGCGCTAGAGAGAGAGAGAGAGAGAAGATTACACGCTTTCCGCGCGCGCGTAGGATAAATAAATCGCGAATCGATAACGGTGCTAACCGCATTCCGAAAGATGTGCCCTGATTACACGTGTACACCGCTCGAGCCAAATCTATTATAAGCCAGCGGCTCCTCGTTAATCCAGATTATTATTAATCAAGCGAAACGATATTTTCGCGTTCGCCATGGAGACACGCGCGCGCGGATCCTGGAAGGCGAGCGAGACGGTAATTGCGCCGCTTCGCGATCATCAATTTTAAAAATAACCGTTGAGCTAACTCGCTCGTTTTATTTTATTTCACTTTCTGTTCTTCCACTTCGGACTGCTCGCGTCGGTTTTTTTTTGTCTTTCGTGTTTTCGTTGCGTCTGGAAAAATCGGCGCATACGTATCGTCGTAATTTGTCCAACTTTCACCTTATACATTCATAACGGGAGAAGAAGAAGGAGCAAGAATAAGAGGAATTTCGGCGTGCTCGGGGCGAATGACAAGTAAGCGCCCGCGGTGAGCGAGTCAAGCGCGGAATATCAATCGATTTTCCCGTGGGGTACACACAAAGAAAAGGCATTCGCGAATAGCAGGCGTCCTTATCTCGCGTGCTGGACGTAGCAGAGCCAGAGAGAGAGAGAGAGAGAGAGAGAGAGAGAGAGGGAGAGGGAGACAGCTCCGAAGCAAAGTGTGTAACGCGGGCGAACGAACCGGATCGAGCGAGCGCTCGTGCAGCCGCGCGCAGCCTTGGACGATTTTTCAATGTTAATTACCCGACGGTCCATTGGCCTAATCCCGCCGACACGCCCGAAGCTTTTCCGCGCGCGCATCGAGGTGCCGTTGCGCCCGACTCGAACGCGCGTTCTCTCGCGGCCATCGACAACGGCGACACTCGCGCGCGAGGGAGAGCGAGAGAATTAATAAAGCTCGCCGGCTGCGCTCTCCGCTCGGAAGCACGACGACGAAACGAATGCGGGGAATCCGCAAGAGGGAGGGGAAGGCCGAAGTAGCCTCCTCAGCGGGAAGCAGCTTGTGATAAAGCCGGGAGATGTCATATCCGTCAAGCCTCCTGAGTTTGTGGCGAGCGGTGGCACAACCGGTTGTGCGCTCGTTTCTTCTGCTGCTTCTCCGTCGTCCTCGCGCGCGCATTTGCATGATAAATCGCTCCGTCTCTCTCTCTCTCTCTCTCGCTCTCTCTTTCTCGCACTCCCGCGAAAATTTCGGTCGAGAGCAGCGCGTCTTTTCCTTGCATTGGCTGCTCGCGAATCGTACCACAGATGTGTAATTGTGTACTAATCTCGACGGGTTTTGCTCGTGTCTTCTGTCCGTACAGTCACTGCAGTCGGCGGCGCGGAGAGCGGGCACGTCGTGCGCGAATTGCAAGACCGCCACGACGACGCTCTGGCGGCGGAACCAGGCCGGCGAGCCAGTGTGCAACGCCTGCGGCCTCTACTACAAGCTGCACAACGTAAGTATCTGCACCCAAATTACTGTGCGCGAAGCGCGCCCCACCCTCGAGTGGCGAGAGAGACACGCCACGGCCGCGATGCCAGCACGCGCGCGGCAAAACTCGATACTCCTCCCGGGGAGCGCGGTATCCGTTACCCCGCGCGCGCGCACGCCTCCCAGGACGTGCGCGCGCCCAACGGAAGCCGCTGCTCTTCGTCTACCCATTGTGTCCCTCTTTGGGGGCATGTTTTCTCCGCTCTCTCCGCTTTCCAATAGCCGAGTAATTGATATATCGCTAATGCGCTGTCTCCCTGGCGCTTTTTAACCTCCCACGCTCGGCCGAAGGAGAAGCGAAACGTGTGCTTTTTTTCGTCTCTCTCTCTCTCTCTCTCTCTCTCTTCTTTCTTTTTTTTTGCCCTCGTCGTCGTACTTACATGCACCCGCGCGCGGTGACCACGGGAGAGAGAGAGAGAGAGAGAGAGAGATAATCTCTCGTCGTCGTCGTCGTCGTCGTCGTCGTGGCGGCGCGTCCGTTAATTGGCAAGAAGAGTTTCTGCGTTTCCCCGAAATCGTCGACAGAGAGAGAGAGAGAGAGAAAGAGAGAGAGAGAGAGACGCTCTTCATATGATTTGTTGACGTTTTAATTAACCGCGAGTCTGCAACTACTCTAGATAACAGCTTCGAGATAATCGGGTAAAAATCAATCGACTCCTAATTAACCGACAACGTTTTTCTCGGTAATCGTTAATTAGGTGAACGACCCGCATCGAGAGAGAAAGAGAAAGAAAAAAAGCCGGATGCTTCTCCATTGTCGAGGAGGTCGCGCGTTGGGTCCATATACATATATTCCAATTCGAGAGATGAATCCGCGCGATAAACGTGTACGCGCATCGTTGCGCAACGTCGCAATATTACAAATTTCTCTCTCTCTCTCTCTCTCTCTCTCTGTGCGCTCTTTTTCCTTCTGTCCCGGCGGCGGAAGCTATAAAATCGCATTACGCAGAACGCAAGCCGCGCGGCATGGATTATTATGTATTCGAGTCGCGCGAGCTTTATGTGCCCGGCGGCCTCCTCTTCGGCATCATGCGTGCGCGAAGCCTCTCTCGGATTTTTGTGTGTCTTCGGCGGACGACGTGCGTGCTGCACGCGTCGTCTCTTCCCTAGAATTTTTTATACGCGCATCGGCGTGGCGGCTCTCGCGCTTACGACTCTCCTCTCTCGTCCGCTCGCGGCGACGCGCGAGGCACGCCGCCGCCTCCTCGTCGCGAGAGCGACGCCGCGGCGGAATGCCCGATCGCTTTCCGCTCTCGACGAATAAATCGTACACCTCGTGGTGCGCGTCGTCGCGATGATTCATCGCCGAGAGCGGCGACCGGATGAAAAACTCGGCTGGACGCGCTTTTTTTTCCCCCGAGAGACGCGCGATCTCGTGTCTCTTCGCTCGGCTGCGTTTGCGCACGTCGCCACAGTGCGCGCACTCGCCGAATCGCGAATGCATCGCGCGGCTCTCGTCGTGTGCGAGCGTCGCATCAATCGCGCGAGCGGCGCGGCGTCTCTTTTGTTTGCACCTCTCTCGCTCTCTCTCTCTCTCTCTCTCTCTCTCTCTCTCTCTTTCTCTCTTTCTCGTCACATTGTATTCAAATGCGCATCTCGTTGCGTCTCGTTAAACGGAAGTCGCGTCCCTGTAGCGCTGCGCGTCCCTTCTTTTTCGGCAGAACGGCGGCGGCAATTGCGTCTGATTAACAGAAGCCGGCGGTGGCATCAAAAAAAAGAAAAAAAAAATAATAATAATAAAAAAAGCTGCCCACGGCTTTGGTCGATGTTGATTTCGCCGCGCAGCTGCACCGAGGCGTAGTCGATTCGTTAATTATAATTGCCGGACACGACGACCCGCGGGCGGGCGGCGGGGGCATTCCTTAATTGCCACGCTCGCGCGGCGCGCAGCTTTTCGCTCTCGACGCCAGCGCCACGCTCGATAAAACGCCCGCGAAAACTCTCGCGGCGAATATCCTCGCGCCAACCGAGTTTCTCGATCTTTGCCTTCTCTCGCGTGCGAGAACGCTCGTCTCGGCCCCCCCCCCCTCGCTTTCCGTCTGCGCGCGAGCGTGAAAAAAATCGAATTCTGATTGCTACGTTTTCATTTTGCTATTATTATTATTTTTTCCTTTTCACTTTCTAGCTTCGGCGCGCGAGCGCGTTGTTTGGCTTTTCACGGTCTGGCACTCGCGATGATTATTTAAATTCGCATTTTCCGTCGGTCGGAGCGTGCTGCGTCGTTCCGAGGCGTAAAATATTCTGCATCTAGGCGTTACTTACATAAACATTGCCTCTCTGTTGTTTTCTTTTTTTATAGTCTAGCTCGCAATGAGATTTATACGTTTCGAAAGGCTTCATCGAGACGATCATTGTTCTCTCGAATGCAGACAGCGAACTAACTCGCGAGCAAAAAAAAGTGAAGAAGAGAGAGAGAGAGAGAGAGAATAAACACGAGAGAAGCGTCCAATCTGCGAGCTTGCTCGGCGCGCGAGCGAGCGTCGCGCTTGCGACGAGCGCGGCCAGTCTTGAAAAGTTTAAACGATCGCGATTAACCTTCACCCAGAGAGCGCCGCTGCGCGCAGTGTGCCGCGGCAGTGCCAAAGCGCGCGCTCGTACAAGCTGAAACTAAAGAGAGAAATAATAATAATGTCCGCGGACTGTTGGCACACGCGTATAAATTTCTCGATCCGTCGAACGGTGCATGTATTCCCTTGCTCGCAGCGCGGTGCAGCGTTGCGTCACGGAGACACATGCGCGCACGTACACGGCCGCGCGGCGCTCTCGCTTGCCTGCCTGCTTGCCTGCCTGCCTGCCTGCCTAAGCATTGTTTCAGCAATATGAATCCCGGCGGCGCGCGTCCTTGACTGATTTATCCTTCGCTCGCTCTCTCGACGCTCTCGCCGGGGCATGGAAATCCTTGAGAGCGCGAGGAACGAAATTTTCAGCCGCGGCTGGCGCGCGAGCCAGCCCAAGAGGGAGAGAGAGAGAGAGAGAGAGAGAGAGAGAGAGAAACGCGTAGGGGCGTTAACCCCGATGAGCTTGGCCGATAAAAGCAGCGCGTGTATTTATAAGAGAGCTGCTGGCGTTGCTGTAGCTGAGATGGCGTCGCCAGATAAGGGCACAATGCCGCTCTTTTACCCGACGCTGACTATTTCAATCTAAGCCGGCTGCCGGCAGATAGCGACGACGCGATCTTTTTTGCACGCGATAAATCACGGCGCATCTCTCTCTCTCTCTCCTCTCTCTCTCTCTCTCTCTCTCTCGTGCCATGCCGGTTGTCGGTAGTTGCCCCCGCTATAAGACCGTGTCGGCCTTTGATTTCACGCACGACGGTTCTGCACTTTGCTGGACTGCGTTCCTTCCGCCATTTCGGCGACGGCCGCCGCCATCTTGTGGCGAGGCACGGCCGCGCTCGGAACTTGGCCCTCGCGTCGAGAAAGCGGTGTGATCACGAAGTGGTCCTGGCTTTCTCAACGTATGTGTCGTCTACGACTGTTGCAGGTTAATCGACCGCTGACGATGAAGAAGGAGGGCATCCAGACGCGCAATAGGAAGCTCTCGTCGAAGAGCAAGAAGAAGAAGGCGGGCAACTGCCTCGGCCTCGGGGGCGTTATGGGAGACATGATCAAAGCAAGTGGACACCTCGACCTCGACAACAAGCCATTCCCAACTGGCTTCGGTTCGCCCATGGGCGAGTATCGTAAGTGTCCGTGCGGCCATTCACTCTCTTCCGGCGCTCCTCGCCATCGTGCGACCACTTTACGTGACATTTATTGCCGTGACAGGGTCCTCGCAGCACCATCACACGATGCATCCAGCGATGCAGCATTACATGTACCACTCGGGAGTCGGAGTGGGTGTGACGGGCTCGTTGCACCAAGGTTTCGCGCCACCGGCACCGCCACCACTTCACACGCATCCCCATTCACACTCGCATTCGCATCACATGACAAGCTTGCAGGGTCTTCAGTTGGCTGCCACGACGAACGCGATGGTGAGTTCTGCCTCCGCTAATCTTTGACTTCTTCAACGTTTCCAGCGTTATTGTTAAAAGAAAATAAAGAAACGAAAACGACAAATTCAATTCGATGTCTACGGGCTGTGCCAAGCGCGATGTTTCCAGGAGCCGAGGGAGACAATTCAATAAACACACGTCGTTTGCTTTTTGTGAATCACAGGCGGGTTGGCGATCAGAGTACGCATGAACGGCGAGCGTTGCGTACTAAAAAAACCGCCCAGATGTCCTGCCACGAAGACGCAAAGCAGAGTACGATATACGCTCCTACGAGATAAGGCCAGGGACATGGACGGTCTTACCAAGCTTTAACAGCAATGGCGTCATTATTAGGGAATAATGATGCCTCAAGTACCAACAACTGGAAATCCTATCGTTACTCAAAACTAAGGAGACTTCACAAGGAAAACCAATTTTCAGGAACTTCGTCGTTTGTTGTGCGTGATTTTATCGTCGTCGATTTGATCAAACGCGTGTGTACATATTGTAAAGAAAACGAACTCAAGTCGGAGAGATTTTAATCAAGATTTTATTAAGGGTCCAGCGATATAGGGATGAAAAAAATGGAGAACGAGAGAGAGTCCGAAATTCCCCCTTTTAAGTACAAACGAAGCCAACCACTCATTCAACACTCGGCGGAAAGACAAGTGCACAAACATATAATGACAAGTACACCAAAAAGCAATCGTACGCGACAAGCACTTACAGCCCCGCGCGAAGTGTTACTGAAGTCCTTACTTTTTGAATCTGAATCCGTGAAATTGTTTTCACTGAATGAACAGTCAACTCACTGTTGAAACAAGGAAAGCTTAATGCGAAAAAAATTGAAATTTCACTTTCATATGAGTGAAAATTCAATCCAACTAAAATCGTGAAAATCCTATTGAATTATTCATGATGAATATTGAATATTAATAATATTCATCACTGAAAAATTAGTCACATTTCAATGGTTCTTCTATAATTTGTTGCTGATCTATCGGAGGATTTTCGCTGTTTTAGCAGTGGATTATCGTTATGTTCCTAGTGAAAGTCCATCTGTAAACTGAGTTGTCACTGTTTCAATGGTGAGTGTTCACCGTTTTTAAATTGAAACTAATTATTGTTGTGTTATAAATGTTTTGTTAGTTAGGTTAATCAAAAATATGAAAATGTAAAGTATTTATTGTTACAAAAGGATGTTTTTTAAAAGGAATACGATAAAGGAATTTTTTAGGTTAAATACGAATTTTTTTTCTTCACTTCTTTTCGATAAGTGAACATTCCGAATTAGACATTTTGTAAGTTTTTTGTATTAGTTGAATAAATGATTTGTCATACTTATGTCGATGCGATTTTCTACAATTATTCACCCAAGCTCGCGGATTATAAAATTATATGTTTCGTTGTTTTCATCACTTGTACGCGAATAATTTTAAAATAGAAGATTTCACATGATTACTCATCAAAATAAGCAATAAGCAAAATACGCGTTGGCGGTATAAGTTGTCACTGTTTTACAAGTGGAATTCTTCATCATTACCAAAAACAGTGGAGATTTCACTGATTCAGATTTAGAGTGATGTGTGTCGTTGCAATCGCCCGTCGAGTGAGCGAGTTCGCGAATGCGTGTGTTCCGCCTTTCCCAGTCGAACCTTCCAAAGACTCAACTCGACTTTTCAGTGTCCACGACTATTCGACTGAAAAGGTAAAACATATAAGGATAAGAATTCGTCTCTCTATTTCCCCCGCCCCCTTGTCCCAACCGTGTATTATCGTGCAATTTTCGATTGCCATAGGGCAATTTTACTGTGCGACGCCCTTTGTGCTCTCGAAATACAAGTCGTTTTTTTGTGTGTTGTAAATGGTTATTAGTGATATAAATAGACAATTGGTTAAAAAGAATCAAAACGCAAATTCCATCATATTATATAAATAAATAAAGTATATACATACATACATACATATGTGTGTGTGTATGTGTGTGTGTATGTATATGTATGTATAAAATACATGTGTGTCGAATTCTCACTCTCTCCTCGTTTAGCTTTTCTTTTGCTATTAATTCGCTGCCGTTTGGGCGTTGGCATTTTGATATGATATGTGCGCGTTCAAAAATGCCAAGCTGTCATCAATTTTCGAGATAATACATAGTCAGACTCAAAGAGCGAGAGAGAGAGGGAGAGTGTAAATTTTGTATCGTGTTTTACGATTAATTGTATAATGAAATAATTAGTGTGCGAAAACAAACCCATACGTACCCTCCTATCCGCCACTTGTGCATACCGGACAAAAGACAACTCCAATTATAGCAAAGCTCACACTCACTGAAAACACACAAGGTATCGCAGTAATAATACGCTATAAACATAGATAGTCAAAAGTATTAAGAGCAAGTTAATTATTAATTATTGCGCAAAACAAAATAGATCGAACGACTTTAATTGGAGCGTGAGAGAGAGAGAGAGAGAGAGAGAGAGAGAGAGAGAGAGAGAGAGAGAGACGATGCCACATCGAGACATTGTGATTCATGATTTCTTCAAATCGCTAAATGCAAATCAGTCGCTGTTCGTGTTAGGTCGCGCGCGAGGGAGGTAAGCGAACGACTCCTTTTCCAAACGAAGAACTAACAAACAAAAAAATGCACGTAAGAAAGACTGATGATTAGTTTGCGAGAGCTTCGCAGATTTTTTATTTGGAAAACGTATCACACGAGTCGTATCGCGCGCCAATGCCACCTCCCGAAGACATAATAAATCACGTCTCCGTAGTATTAAACGTGTAGGGAGCACGAGGAGAAATGCTGTCATGCTCGGGATGTAAAAAGTTTCATTGTAAGATATGATTGTATAAAAAGTTTTAACTTAAAAATAAATTAAACGATAATTATCGTACAGCAGTAATACGAGACAAAAATGTGATTCGCATGTGTTCATTATGTATGCATACATTACACCTTGCTCCTCACGTCTGTATCCTTCCTTGTCCTTAAAAAAAGAATCGAGAGAAAAATTTCACCAGACAAATAAAGGGAGTGGGGAGAGGTCCGTTAGAAAATCCTTGACGCGTATCGGCCGCGATTGGCTACCGTTATGCTCGGCAACTATGGGGGGGTAATTAAAACGTCGTCGAGGATGACACGACTAGTTCGCGTAGCCTGGTGCTCAAAGTGGATCCGTTGGAAACGAGGCTGCGCGGCGACGGGTTTATTTTCGTGCGCGCGAGCGTGGATTTGCGAGGACGTAGCGGCCGATCGGCAGAACGTCTCGGGGAACGCTCTATTCTCGTTTCTTTCTTCGCGAATCGCGGCGGCCGGCACGAAGAGAATGGCCGAGCCTTATCATTTCTATTTCCGTAGACGAGCCGCGATCGGCGTATGAAGTGCCGAATGTCGAAATATATCTGTTGACAGATTGTTTCACGCGGCGAGTAATTTTCCGTAGAAAAACAGCGATAAAAGGCGAAATCACGGCGCGGAGATATCGCTCGAGTCGATCGGAAATAACGATCTCGAAGCTACACGGATCGACCGAGAGAAAAGAACGATGCTCTCGTTTTAACGTGCGCGACGATCTAGATCGAGAAAGCAGATCGATTGATATTAATTAAGACGTGTAGCTCAATTAAAATCAGTCTGGGGATCCGGAAAAAAAGAGGTGTCGCTGTCTCGTGTAAATGCAGGATGACGTTGACGCGCGAACGGGATGATCGTCATCGAGTGAATTTCGAGAAAAAAAATCATCGGCGCATGCCAGGATGCAGGAAGCGGAAAGATCACGGCTGCGGCGCATCTGCATAGCAGCTTCCTTTGTCGTTCGATGCTCATAGTCGCGTCGGTGCGCCGTATAAATATTGAATTATGCAAAAAAGTCAGCTGACAATGTCCGAGCGACGTTGAACGCAGCGATCGACGGCTGCTTACGTGTGGCCGTGCGCGGGCGCGAATCACGTCGCATGTGTCGGATAACGCGTGCAATAGCAGCGGCGGCAATTACAAAGCGCGTTAAAAATCCGAATTAATCGTAATTTATTTAAATGCGGCCAATTGTAATTCAAAGTAGCCTCGCTCTCTCGCGGCGCGCGGACGATTTACATACGTGTGTGTGTGCGTGTGTGTGCGTTTTCTCTTTTCCAGTTGGGCGCGAGCGGCCGATCATTTAAAATGTAAATCGTTGCGCGAGGCATCGCCGAGGAAGAGGATGGCTAGACACCTTGTAAATAAACGTACATTCCCATCGGATTCCGGGCGCGCGTGCACGGCGAGGCGGAATAAAAAAAGAAATAAATAAATAAAAGAAGAAGCCCGCAAATCCTCGGCCGCGTAAATCCCCGCGAGTCGCTGCACAAGTCGCCGCGAGACGCTTCATTTCATGGGGAATTAGGCCGCGCAGCAGCTGCTCTCCGTCGCATCACGCAACCGATTCCGCCACGCTGACCTTTCGCGTTTTCCTTCTCCTCGCTCCCTTCCGCCCGTCGGATCGAGAGAGCGCGGCCGAGTTGACCGGGATTTGCGCTTAATCCTCCGCTGCCTTTCTCACAAACGACAATCTTCGCTGCTCGCTCTCTTTCATTTTTTTTTATTCCCTTTTCGACTTTTCCGTCGGTGCGATCGCCACATCGGGGGATAAGATGGTTTTTCCCTTCTTCACGACGCCATCGATCCGCCTGGATGTTTTTTTTATACTTCAAAGGTTCAAGCTTTGCTATTCTTTCTTTCGTTCTTTCATTTTTTTTTTGTCGAGGGAACATTTTTAAGTGAAACTAATGAGTAAAGAAAGTAGACCACACATTGTTGAGGTCTTGGCTGAAAGGAGATTTGAGGGTTACACAATTTTCAACTGAAGATCTGTCCATGGGTAAAAAATATCATTCTCGCGATTGTGCGTGTGCGTAAGAATTTAAGCGTATCTCGCGTTGAATATTTTCAATTGAACGCAATTTTCACACTTGGCAGAGTACGAAAGTGTAAAATTCGCTGGCTGAACTTTGCGTGTGCAATGAAACTTTACGTGTCTATTTGTGATCGCGGTGCCTTCGAAAAAAAAAATCATGAACCACAACTAATGAACTATGCTTTGAGATGATTTTTCAAATTACAATACTAAACGAGATTGCCTTCAATGGTCAGAGCGAACGCTGACGATATAGTTCGTTCATTATAAATTTGGCAAGTCAGTGGGGTACGTTGGGGTATGCATCTGCAGAACGTTGGAGTGTCGAGAAAATCAACAAATGTCATCCGAACGCGAGCCGAGCGCGGGCAATCAATGATCGCGGACATAACTCAATCATCATTATTTTACAAGTTTTATAAATACGTTGGCCGATGGCTTTCTACATCTGCGTGAAATTAATGCTTAATTAGCGCGATAAATTCGCCTAACGGCTGCGATATTTCACTTGGCAAATCATTCGAGCGCGCGCATAGCACCAGTTTTGCTCGCCTTCGTTTTTTCATGGCACTCTGTATAGCGACTGCTTAATGCCCGCCGTACGTATAAATTCAAAGTCATTTCCAATCAGACTTCCTTGATCGCCTACATATATAATGCACAAGGAGAGCGCGCCAGCAAAGAAACTGGGAGCATACATACGTTCAGGCGAGACAAGATTCTAATTGATATCGAAGTGAAAAGTGCAGTCGAGCGCGAAACGAATTCATATACGCGCCAAGTATAAACTTGGATTCGCTGGCGTGTGCGTATATAAGCTGCTCTCTCGGACATTCCGAAGATCCCTTTTTTCCGTTCGATTGGCCGACGGGGGGGAGAGAGAGAGAGAGTGAGTGAGAGAGAAGGGTCAGCTCTCGCACTAGGCATCGAGTGTGAGACATTAGAGGGGGGGAGGGGTCGAGGATTTGTACGGCGAAGAATCAATCTCTGGATTTTCCCTCGATTCGGGGAAAATTACTTTTTGCAAATCGCCCGGAAAGGCCTGGATGCCCGATTGAGCTGTCGCGCGATAAAGGGGGGCCGCGAGGCTCGGCGCGAGAGCGCGCGTAAAAATTGATGGGCCGCGCTACCTCGGCGCCGACTCGCTTCTTTGCGCGCCGCGGATGAGTCGATTATTCACGGACGACGGGCAGCTCGCGCGCGCTAATCGCGCGGACTCGCTCGAGCACTTCCGAATTCCTGGGGCACCTCCTCCGCCCGCGCGAGGGAAGGGCAGCGGGAGGTGCGCGCGAGCCGAAGAAAAAGAGGCAGCGCGGACAACTCGAGCGTGCGCGAGCGCGCGCCTGCATTGTTGCTGTGGGAGGGTCTCGCGCGAGTTCAAGCTCGGCGCAGGTGTAGAGGCGCTCGCCGCGCGGCATTTCGCCGCGTAATCGGCCTCATTAATAACAGCCCACTACGAAATAAAAGGCCGCCGTAGTCCCGCGCGGGCGCGCGAATCGAAGCGAGCTCGCATCAATAACTCGACAATTAGACGGCCGCGGGTCGATGGGCGTTGTTGCATTTCTCGCGCCCGAGAGAGAGAGAGAGCCTAATCCAATTCCACCGCGGCAGGGGGGCTCCGCGCTCGGGCGTTAAAAACGTTCGTTTGCATTAGCGTTCCTCGCGGGGATGCGCGCGTCGATTTCGCGCCTCCTATCCTCGCGGCCTCGCTCGGCGATGACTCTGCGAAGCCCTTTGTGCGCCGCCAAATTGAAAGGACAATTGTCACGGGCGCGTTCTCGGTTTGTTTTGGCTCGAGCGCCGCCGTTTTTTTAAATTGAAACGGGAAGAACGGCTGCGTCGTTGCCCCGAAGTTTTCGGGAGAATCGCGGGTACCCTTCTCTGATGTTAGCGAGCGAACGACGCGCGACGGCGAGACCAGCAGCGCCTCTCGTAAAATGGTCATCGGAGTCGTTGTGTTAATGGGCAATCAAGTCGAATATTTTTCGACATTTGCGGCTACTTGCTTGAGCACGGTGACCGAATCGAGCTCGCAATCAATTAACGAACGTCTCGGAGAATTACGATCTGGTCAAGAGTCAACGCACAGGCCGAGGAACGGTCATCCAGAGAGAGAGAGAGACAGTACGTCGCCGTTGATTTATCGACCGATCGGCAATCCCGTCCTCGCGCAGTCGAGAAGAAAGTAAACAAATTAGCATAATACGAGTTGTATACACGGGCAGCATCCTCTGCCGCGTGTGGGAATGGCGTGCTTGCAACCTGCAACGTGGAGGAGCGAGAGATAGTGAAAATTTACTGTCTGAGAAGAGCGTCGGCGAGCGAAAAAAGAAAGAGAGAGAGAGAGAGAGAGAATAAAAAAAAGGAGCAATAATAAATAACCAAGACATCAAGAGCGTTGATTGAGAAATGCATTTTTACGCGGGCAGCTCGGCATTGTTCGCGCTCAGACAGCCGAGTAACCTCCTCCTCGTCGTCGCGGCCGGGGCGAAAACTCGCTCGTCCGCATTTCTCGTGCGCCGTTAAAGCCGGCCGAAGAGGAAACGATAGGCGTATCCGCCTTGCCAAGTGGCGTTAATGCCTTTTTTTCTCATTTTTTTTCTTCTCCGTTTTATTTTATTTTACTTTATTTTTTTCTCCTCTCCTGCGCCCTCGTCTTCATTTTCTTGCTCTCTCCGCCGCTCGACTCGCGAACTGGCGTCTCGATAAACAATATTTACAGACGAACAGGTGGCCTCGTCAAAAGCTCGGTTCGCGCGCGAGGGCGTCGACGGGAGGACGGCGTTGCGCGCATCGCGGACCGAGGACGATCGATGATTTACGCGGCGAAATGAGAGTCGAGCGCCGCGGCCGGCTCTTCGCGGCGCGGAGGGAAAGAAGTCGCAGGTAGCTTTATGGCCGTATGTTAATTCCATGCTAATCGTGGGAACGGCGACTTTGCGTCCGCTCCTCCCCGTTCCTTTTCTTTTGACGCGCCAAATTGCACAATCAATTGACTCGCGCGCGGCGCT